ATATATATATCTTTATTCATCCATTGGTCTGGAACTTTTAATCTTGCTATACCTTGATCCGAACATACATCAGCCTGTGCCTTATAGGCTTTCTTGTTGCATTTGATGAGCAAATTAAATGACGGGGCCTGTCCTTTGCTTTTAGCGCCTCACTGGTAATGAGTCCTTTGCTTTGCCCTACTGGAATTTTGCCACTGGGAGGAACGAGTGTGATGTGTGCACTGACCAGCTTCTCGGGGCAGCCAGACAAGATGACCCAACTCTGATTAGTCAGAACTCAAGATTCTCCAGCTGGGAAATTGTCTGTGACAGGTAATGGCATATATACCCTGGTGGAGATCCACGACTGTCTTATGTCCGAGAGATGGAGAACTTACTTTATATTTCTGTTTCTAATGCACACGAGGTTCTCTTAACATGTTTCTGGAAACAGTTTTCTTGTGGGAGCTGAGATTTTCAAGATTCTAAACCCTTTAATGAAAATAAATAGATAAATCAGAGTCACATGTGTAAATTGGGTATGCTCAGCCATCATTTTGAGATGAAGCATTTCAATATTAGTAGTTCCTACATTCAGCCAGACTTTGTCAAATACCAATCATTTCCTAGGTGACACAACACTGTTGGGAATACAGATATGAATAGATACAACCTGCCTTTTGAATATCATTCCATATGTGCAATAGATTCTCTGTAATGAATGGTCACTCAGTGTAAGGAGTATTATGAGAGGTGTATGTGCAAAGCCAAGAAGAGACAGGACAAGTCGGCAAGGGGTGGAGATGAAGGCTCTGAGAATGAAGAAAGCACAGGGCTCAGCCAGGTGTGGGGCAGGGAGGAGAATGGGGGGGGGGCAGAAGTGCTCTGGGTGGAGGGAACCTCATGTCCAAAGCTAGAAGAGTCTCTGCAAGCAGCCAGGGATGGCTGGACCCCAGGATGCTGGAGAGTTGGAGGGGGTGGAATGTGGCATCAGAGGGCAATGATTGCTGAACCCCTACAGACTGCACGAGCAGGCAAGTGGCCCACAGTCCCAGAAGGGTCGTGTCCCCAGAGATGTCTTGAATTCGGTTCTTCTTGCAGACACAATACAGTAGCACCTCACTGGTACCCTGAGAATAAATTCCAAGACTCCCAGTGGATGCCTGAAGTCTCAGATAGTACAGATCCCTGTTTACATACCCCATGTTTTCCCTGTACAGATGCACCTGTGGTAAAGTTCAATTTATAAATTAGGTCCACCAAGAGAGTAATGATAACTAACAATAGCATAGAACAATTACAACAGTGTACTGTAATCAAAGTTATGTGACTGTGATTTCTGTCTCAAAATATCTAAATCCTCAGTGTGCTGGAGTAATGTTTTCAGGTCAGAGCTGACTGCAGGTAACTGAAACCATGGGAAACAAAAGCACAGATGGGGAGCCATTGTATCTCAGAAAAGGATTCCCCAAGAAGCTCCTCTGCCTTCCCTTTTCATTTCGTAACCCCGCTGCTCTGCTCCCTGTGCTGCATCTTTAGGTGGCTCCAGGATAACGAGTCCCAGCTCCACAGAGTCCTCCCCTCCTGGCTCCTTTAAGACATCTATCTGAGTCTGGGAAATATGAGTTCTGAGGGGCCAGGTTCAGCCTCAGGACCCTGTTCTCTTCTTTCTTTGTTTTCTTTTTTTTGTAGTATGGGGTGTTGAACCCAAGGCCTTGGCACTGAGCAACATCCTCAGCCTTGTTTTTATCTTTTATTTTGAGATGGGAACTCACTAAGCTGATAAATTGCCCGGGCTAGGATAGAATTTAGGACCCTCCTGCTTCGGCCTACACCAGCTGATTCCATCTTCTCCAGCCCTTGCATTTCCTATCTTGATCAGGTGAGGAATCCACAAGTGGGACATCCTTCCTACTTTATTTGTGACTTCACTTAATCCCAGAAAGTGCCATATCCCATCCCATATGAACAGGGCGCGTATGAAAGACGTGGCTAGGATCATAAAAGTGTAGAAAGTGTCAAATTGGGCAGGTTTTAAAAAATTTAGAACATCTCCAAGCCTTCCATGCGTTTTATTATTATTCCTCAAGAGGAACCTCAATGTATCTGACCCTAAGACTCTTATTTCACAGACCATCTCACTGCAACGCACTTTGGGAGATCCTGCCTAGAGGGCTTTTTCTGGCCTTGCGCTGAGTCCTGGCCTCTTCCTTCCTTCCTTGTGTGTATGCTGATTCCCTTCCCACATACCCCTCACCCTCCAGAGCGCACACAGCGGCATCTTTAATATTCTGTCTCTCTTGATGAACTAGTGCTCTGATGATGGGACTCCAGGCCACCACTGGCTCATAAAATGTGTTTTACGGGCATGGGACCTTGTCCGCTCCACCTTTACCACGTAATTATTGTTACCCTACTGCATATATATATATATGTGTGTGTGTGTGTATATATATGTTTTATATATGTATATAATTTCTTCTTTTCCAAAAATTAATTATTATTTTAGTTGTGTAAATTAAGAAGCAGAGTGTGATAATTCAATACGGGTATTTAGTATGTAACGATCCAGTCAAGACAGTTCACACTTCCATCTCCTTGCATGTTAAAACATATTTTTTATTAAAGCATGTTGGTAACACAGAATACACGTACCAATTTTTCTCATCCTTCTTTCTGTCCCTTCCCCATTTTCAGGAAATTCTAATTTTCATCACACCCTCACTCAGTGATCCTCAGAACCAAGTACACCTTGGAATCTCTGGAGAAAAACACACATTCCATGCCCCACTCCTAAGAGCCTCTGAGTCAGTGGCTGTGGGCTAGGTCCTAGCAATCAGTGTGGGTTTCTAACCAATGCCCAGCTGATGATAGTGGAAAATTAGTATATACATTTAACATACCTTGATCAGTTTTAACTCCATTAAAATTTTTATTCATGTTTTTCCTGTGTATAATTTCTTCTGTTTTTATGCTGAGCTTCTGTTGCCTGCAACTTGCCTAATGTTTTCCTAGCCCCTCAGAGCCACTTCTGCTCAAACCCTTGGCTCAGCACAATACATGCCACCTTATTCTCCCTTCATTTGCTCCACTGTCAAATGCACATAGTGAGTCATCCCTTTGCCTGAAAATCCTCTCATTGTCTTAGTGATGACATGATGGTATGGTAATTATTATCTATGTATTCCTGAATTCATATTTTGTGCATCCTCAATTTTGGGACTTCTCAATCCATAATTACTTTCGAGGGCAGTATTTTTACCATGTATTTTTGACTGTTGTAAAGTAGAATTTTACCATGACTCTCTATGGCCTTGATTGGTTGGCTTGGCCTGAATTTAAGGTACCATCCATGAGTTAAGACTTTTTTTTTTTTTGGTACCGGGGATCGAACTTGGGACCTTGCGCTTGTGCGGCAGGTGCTGGAACCACTGAGCTAAATCCCCGGCCCAAGACATGTTATTTTTAATCTTCTTATAAATATTAGCTTGGATGACTACAACCAGCGAGTCACCCTGTGTAATGGAACCTATGAAGGTTTGCTGAGAAGAAATCAAATGGGAAGAAACAGGGAGAAGTTGCCAACCTTAAAAGATGTCCAAGATTGTCTGTCCCTCCAGAAGTTTGACAACCCTCCTTTTTTCCAGAATTCTACCTTCAGCTTCAGGTTGGTACTCTGAGTCTGAGGTCTTTTACAACGGCTTTAGGTTTTTATGCTTGTGGTTGTAATGGGATGAAAGAAATCCAGGCTTTAGGAGATATCTGCAAGCTAAGTAATGGAGAGGTGCTTAATCAGAGAGATTAACAAGGGATTAGTATTAGAGAGTTATCATCCACCCACTAACTAATAATGTAGCTTTATTATCTTTTTAACTTAACAGTTCAAAACTATCTTTTGTATTTATAATTTATGGACACATGTAAGTATAGTTGTTGGAACCATTAAACACTTTTAAAAATGAATACTTTAAATAAGTGCTGAGAAATGCCAGTTCTCCTTATTGTTTCTTTCTTATTACTGTCTTTTCAGTATTTACATTTGAAATATATTAGCCATAGATCTTAATATTGGGGTCTGGGCTCAGAAATACTGCAGACAAAATTCAACTCAAATTATAGCCCAGCCCCGACAACATAGTATCCAGACTTTAATGAGCAGCTATTAATTTTCTTCCACCCTAAAAAGACTTAAAGCATTATAAGAAATATGCGTACAAATATGATTTTAACTAAGATAGATGGGGCTTCCAAAAAGGAGCAATGGATAGATTCATGGTCTTTCCCATGAATCTCTCTTGACATGATTCTCTCTTGACTTTGTGTAAATTATACAAAGTGTATGCAGCCAAGGACAGGGGAGGTGAACTCAAGTGCTTCCTCCAGTGATTTGCAAGGTGTGCTTAGATCTGAGGATCACTCAGGTAGGGTGTGGAGTATTAGAATTTCTTGAAAGTAGGCAGAGAAAAAAGAAAAGGATAAGGGGAATGTTTAGATGTGTTTGTAATTCCAAGTGTATTACAGCCAAGGTGAAGGGCAACTTGGTTGAGATATAGAAATATAAAATTATAAATTAATTTAGAAAACATCTATTGATCATAGACCATGTGGTGGGCAGGATACTGAACCCTGGAAATAAAAATATGGAAGAAAACAGACACTAAGAACATGAGAGACAAGTATGGAGCTAAATAATTGTCATATAGTAACCAAAAGAGATAACATTTAACTTCGCAGATAAAGGTGTAACCTTGATTAAGAGTTCCTTCCCCTTAGAGAAGATAACCATTGAAAGTTGGGGCTAATTCTGAATTAATTAGCTAAGGCAGTCCTTCTCATATGTTGACCCAAACTCAGATCGGAAGAGGACTTTCTAGGTTGGAAAAAGGAAGTAGAGATCTTTCTCCTTCTTTGCCTGTTGTCACTGACACCCTGGTTTCTCTCAGGAATGCCTTGGAAGGGTTTGATAAGGCGGATGGGACGCTGGGCTCTCAAGTGGCAAGCCTTCATAATTTGGTTCACTCCTTCCTGAATGGGACAAGTGCTTTGCCACATTCAGCTGCCAACGATCCTGTTTTTGTGGTACGTCCAGCAACTCACAATAGATGAAGAAGTTTCTAGATGATATCTTGAATTTATTTGTTGCTCATTAAGATCAAGGTTTGGTGGTAGTTCATTCTCTGTGTGAACAATGTGATGTATGCACGTATAAATTAATTTAAACCTCGCTACAGCTAGATAGCTTTTGAAGCCCCTAGTTAGAAACCTGTGCTTCCGGGATGTTTGGTTTTTGGATGATCCTAGACAGGAATGTGGAGTCCAGAAGTGAGTTCATAAATTAACATAAAGAAATCATTATTTAGCAAAATTATGTCATATGTTAGCATAAATATAAATGCTTTGTTTTCATTGGTGACATAAGTGGATCACTTTGTATGAGTTGTCTGGAGGAAAGAAAGGTTCTGGTAGCCAGAAAAGGTAAGGAGAAGGCGTGCTGGACAGATAAAAGTGACAAATGCCTCCAACAATGACAGTAATATAAAAACATACTTGGTGCCTTACACTTCATTAAGCAGCTTAACGCCTCTGAGATGTAAGATAACTAATAGAGAGTGTTCCCATTAACTATGGAGGAGCCTCAGAGTCCTTTAACACTGCAAGTGTGATGAACTCCCTTGATACATTTGAGTCCCATTTGTGTCTCCCTTTAAAACCAAAGCAAATATCTGACAAAACTTGACCATGGGATTATAAATTTTAAAATTTCAAGACTGATTAGTTTTTAAGGTATGATCAATCAAGGGGCTTCCAAGAGACAAACAAAATGAAGCATGTGCTAATCAGGGCCACATTATTCACTGCTCTTGGTCAATGTCTTCTAGCTGAAGACTTCTGGAAGCACAGTGGGGTCTAGTCCCCCCTTATCCATGGCTTAGTTATTCCCTGTCAACCATGTCTAAAAGAAGAAGGTTGACTACAGTACAAGATTTTGGGAGAGACCACATTCACATACACTTGATTATAGTATGAAGTGTAATCAAAGTATGTAGTGACTGTTTCAATTTTTAAAATTTATTACAGTAAAAGACATTGCCACTAATCCCCCTCAGAATACTCCTCACTTTGAAAATACTTATCCTGTTGTTTTTGCCACTTTCTAAAGTAGTTCTGGAAGTCCTCTTTTTGAGTATCTTTGTGAGGTGTGATAAAAAATATAGTGAATACTGCTACCGAGTGTCATCCAACAGAAAGGCAGGCTTGTTAAAACATTGTGATGTGTCGCCCCCTCGCCTTATTCACCACATCTGGCCCTGTGAAACTTCTGGCTTTTCCATAAATTCAAAATGACTATGAAAGGTAAGCATTTTGAATTGATTTAGTTGCAACAGTTCAACTAAAAACCCTCAAGAAAGAGGACTTTTGTTTCAGAAAGTGACAAGAATGATGGGAAAGATGTGTTAGAAGTGAGGGAGAGTATTTTGAGGGGGTTGATGGCAATGTGTCTCTTACTGTAATTTAAAAAAATGTAAACATTCACCATAGTTTCTGATCACACCTTAGGTATTATTACAATTGTTCTATTAGATTCTTAGTTCTTAATCTCTTGTTCTGCCTAATTTACAGGTTCTACTTTACCCTAGGTATGCATGTATAGGGAAGAGCACAGCACAGACCAAGTTCGGTGTTCAAATAATACTAACCTTCTGTGGTGGTGGTAAAGGCATCTGGTGGGGATGGAACATCTGGAATGTGTGGTGACAGAGGGGCTGTATTTTTGTCCCGATCCATCATGGTCATAGAGTGCCTTGTCTGATGTTGGTGTTCTGTGGAAGACTCGTCGTCTGACAGGAGGACATCAAGGCCTGGTTGATGGTACCAGGCTAGCATCTGGACACCAGGGGCTGCTTTTCCCTTTCAGCTCATTAAAGTTGCCTTAGGAGGTTTGCACAACATAAGAATTTGTGTTTCACCTGCTGAAGTCTCACAATGGCTCTGCTTTGCAGACACTTAACTCACCATAATTTATCTTAGCACTGTCTTGTCTTCAGAGTTATGTGTCTTAGATGTTTTGGGAGCAATTACAAGAAGAAATTTCACATTTTTTTTCTTTTTTTATTTTGTAGTATCTTGAGTTTAGATTGTACAGAGGCCAAAACACTATTTTTTCTTCCAGCAGTTTCCTTACTTCAATGTGAATCTTAGCAATGTGCCCAAGTCTACTCAGGCTGCCATAATAAAATACCCTAGACTGGACAGCTTCCACAACAGACATGTGTACCTACCAAGATCAGATGCTGGGGAAAATTCTCTTCCTAAGCCTTCCTAAGCCTCATACGATAGAGAGCATGAGCTCTCTAGTGTCTCTTCTTAGAAGGGCACTCATCCTGTGCCATATCAGGACCTCAACCTTATGATCTCATTAAATCTTAGAGACCACCTTGTAAGCCCCATCTTCAATGCATATACCTTGGGAACTGGGACTGTAGCATAGGAATTTGAGGGGCTATTCAGCCTGTAGCAAAATCCATCCTCAAGTCATCAGTGAGGACAGTTTGTTTATCTGGACTCCTGGGAGACTGTATGACATAGTAAAACAAGTGAAATGCGTTTTGTTTATCCCTTCCTTGTGCAATTTTGGCAAAGTCGTTCAACAGTGTGGAGCCTCTGCTTCCTACGTTACAGTGTTGGTCACATGACCTGACCTTAGAGAGGGGAAAAATTGTGCTTGCTGAAGTGACTTAGTAAATTAGGATAATATGATGATGCTCTAGAAACTTTCAAGGGCAATACAAATGTTACCACAAAGATAATGATGTGTTTTATGGAAGTTGGTGGGAAAGAATTGGAGAGCTATGTGTTGGGTTAGAATTTCCAAACTTTAATTAAGGTTCTTTATCTTGTTCTCCCAAGCAGACAGTTGTACCCTAAGGCGACTGACTGACAAGCACGAAGGCAAAAGTATTTTAAAGGTGATTTATTATTTTTACTGGACCCAGTGTACAAAAAAGAAAATATGAAGAAGGAGAGTGAAGGTACAGTTTCTGATGACTCTAAGTTTGCCTGTTGGCATGAGGGATGGAGTCTTGCAGGTCTAAGTAGCTTTCTGGGGTTCCCACATTGATTAAACTTTGGTAAAGATGAGCTTTATGGAATTCTGAGATGGAAGCAGTTGGTAGAGCTGCTTCTTATTTCTAAAAAATGTTTCTCCCCTAAGATTTGTGAAGTAGCAATAAATGAAGGAGATGTCAGAAGTGTGAATTAATGGCCCGACCTCTGACCAAGTGAGGGCTCATCTGTGAGGTGTCTACAGCTGTCCCTGCCCTCTCCAGAGTGCCTGCTTTGTTCAAGTGTTCTGACTTGATATTTCAGATCATTTTTTGGCTACTGTCTCAGCCATCAGCTTATACCAAGCATTTCTCCTATCTGCATTCTCTACTATTTATTGCTAAATAAATTTTTAGTAAAGCATACATTTTGTTAAAACATACCATTTTATACTTTGTGCACATATGACTAAGGAAAATATCCTAATCCTAAGGAAAATATCACCTTACTTATCCAGTATTCTAAAATGTTATAAGGAGAACCATGGATGATAACCTTACCTTTCTCTCATACTAAAGGAAATAGGAATCTGATTTCCAGCTTTCCAAGTCTCCAGGGCTGCTGTCTGCTTTGAGGAACCCTGCTAATTGTACTGGGTTTGGCCACATTTTTCTCTAAGTGGCCAGGTAGTAAATATCCTTGGTTTTCAAGGCCAGATGGTCTCTGTTGCAACTACTCAGCTCTGCCACTTTAGTATGAAAGTAACCACAAACAATGCCTAAGCAAATGAGCCAATGTTCCAATAAAACTTTATTTAGAAAGGCAGGTAGTAGACCTGCATGATATTTTTCTGTGCATGGCTTATTTCACTTACCATAATGTCCTCAGGCTTTAGTTTGCCAATCCCTACTCTCACGGATAAGTGCTCTTTCTGTGTAGTGGGGATATTTCTTTAGTCACATTATCTTCCTGCTGTAGGCAAAAACCTACAGTATAACTCTATGGATGAACAATTCCATGACTTACATGTAGTTCAGAGATACTAGATGTTTAACCTTCTTTGTCTTAATTGCTTTTAATATCTTTGATATGTAAAATTTGCTTTTCTTTGGTAATATGTTTTCCTGTACATACAAAGAAACAAAAAGCCACAGCCTTTCTTTAACAGGCATAGAAGGAACAATATTTGGCCCTGGTTTCAGGAACACACACTTACTTTAGGCTATTTACGAAGAGATTTATGTTGAAGCCAGTGCAGCCTTAAACGATTTTTTTTTGCATATTGAGGTTTAGGCTAAAGCGTTTCAGTTAACAGAGTTATAGCTCCTGGAATTTCAAATTCATGAGGCAATGCATGCAAATATATTGCATATGAAATTTATTAAAATTATTTCTTGTGAATCTCTTCAAGTAAGAGAAGTGCACAGTTGTGTATGATCATGATAATGACCAAAGAAGGCAGAACATTAAAATGCAGGAAAAACTCTGAACCAATCTCTGAAATTCCAATAATTCTTAAAATAATTGAAGCAAAGGCACAAATTTATCATGGAAAATAAGATTAGACCACAGGAATGCTAAAATAGTGCTGCCTTCAATATTAAATGTAGATGTAATCCCGAAAAGAAAAGAGAAACCAGTAGAGTATAAAGTTAAATAGTTGAGCTAACGGCCAAGAAAACACTATGTTACAGATAAGTAATATTCTTCCTACTTCCTAAAACTTCTTGAAAATATATCTGAATGATCAAATGAGTATTTGTCTTTCTGTGTTTAACTTATTCCACTTAACATAATGTCCTCTGCTTTCATTTATGTTGTTGCAAATGAAAAGAAATTACCATTTTTTATTTTACTATGTATATGTATCACCATTTTTAATCCATTCATGTTTTGGACCCTCAGGTTGATTCCCTATCATGGTTATTGTGAACAGTGCTGTAATAAATTTGTGAGGGCAGATGTCTTTTTGATATGCTGATTTCATTTCCTTCGGGTATATAGCCAGTAGTGGGATGCTGGATTACATGGTAGTT